GGGGGGGGGGGGGTAAGGCAAAAGCTTCAACAATAAAAAGCTAACAGAGGGTCTAGCATTCGCCTACTTGTCTAATTCTTTGTAACTCCAAAATGCTATGCTGAGCAATACCCCATGGAGGAAGAGTTTAAAACACTGAATCTTCCCATTAAGGATATTCCATGGTTTTTAAGGCCAAGTTGACAAGCATCAGAAAACCCTTATTTTCCTTAGCAGGCCCTGTCCTTCAACCTTCTGTTGCTGTCATGGCAATTTGTTAAGTTCTTTACAGGTGTGTTTCTCCAACCTCATCAGACCCCCTTCAGGCACCTCATGGACTTTTCCAAATCGATGGGATCTTCTGCCCCTGGCTTTTTTACCACCCTGATTCACAGTCTCTAGCATTAAGGGACTGGTCTTAAGCTATAGAGGCCTTTCTGACTCTGTCATTCCTACTCCTCAGAAAGCTAGGAAATCCATGTAACGCAAGGTCTATTATTGCACGTAGAAAGCATACTTAGCCTGATTCAAGGAAATATTATCCCAGGAAATACTCTGTGGAATGGATCCTGACATTTCTACAATCCAGTCTGGATCAACAATTAGCTTTGAGTACCATTTAAGGGACAAATTTCAGCTCTCGCAATTTTGTCCCAAAGACCGATTTGCTTCGCATTTGCTTGTCAAGGCTTTTTTACAAGGTGCAGCTGACATAGTTCCATCTGCGCAAACATTGTAGTGGAACTTGGTTCTCTCAGCTCTTCAAAGACCACCTTTTGAACCTTTCGGAGATATCCATTTGTTTACTTTAACTCATAAAGTGGCTTTCCCCATTGCCATCACCTCTGCTAGGCAAGAGTTAGCAGCCTTATCTTGTAAAATCCCTTGCTTAGGGTGTTTTGAGGCCCAGAGCCATCCATCTCCCTGTCTTATTCCAGTTAACCCTAAGAAGATATCCCTCCATTGCTTGGATGAGGTTAGAGCTGTTCATATCTACTTCTCAACTATGGCTTCCCTGGCTTTCGGATTGACTCTTTGTCATTTCAGAAGGCACTTGTAAGGGACAACCTGCTTCTCATTCCACCATTTCTCTGTAGCTCAGGCAGGTCATTTTTAATGCCTACTGTCCTAAGGATAAGGTCAATGCACACCCTACTAGATCTGTAGGTGCTTCCTGGGATTTGACATCAAGCATCTATTTCCCAGATATGCAAGGCCGCTATCTGGTCTTCTGTTCACACGTTCTTCAAGTTTTACCAGGTGGATGTCCAGCCATCTGCGGTTGCTAGCTTTGGATGTAAGGTACTGCAGACAGCTCTTTAAGCTTCAGGCAACTGCCGGAGACACTGCTGCTTCCACATGGAGTCTTTAGCTTTCTTGATCATACAGTACAGGACACAGGCGGATTCAGATATATGCAGGCATAATCAGGTGATTGGCCACAGTTTTTTTATGCCAGAGCTCTTAGGTGATGGATGTCTCCTCTCTGAGTAGACATGTATATTAATTTGCCTACCTTTTTCCTGTAATTCTTCAATCAAACTTTCTCTTACTGCAATTGGCCACGGTGGCAATTTTGCAGCTTCTGGATCGGTGTCCCATGGCAAAGGGCCCTGCCAGATGGAGGACGCGGTAAAGGCCTGCAATGTTGCTTCAGCCACTGGATCCCCCATTAAGCGCCCACCTTGGCATGTCATGTGGCACATTGGGTTAGCTGCAGCATGCTATTTCGGTCCAGGGCATTGGCATATCTACACTGGTGTGGCCCCCGTTCCTGAAGGACCCCTTCGCGATATGAAGGAGTCCAGGCCTTCTGTATGACCCTTCCTGTGGTCCTGCCTTCTGGGCTGTTCTGCAATCTTTTCAATCTGTGTGCCTCAGCTTTCTCTGTGCCCCTTCCTCCCTAGATGGCTGCATGTTGCGGTGGTCATTTTGAGCTCCTTGCCGGTCCCTATGGTGCGCAGGCAGTGCTTCGGATGCCTATGGGCTGGCTGGATTCCCCAGCTGGTGCCTGTGCAGTGAGAACAAATGGAAATACAAAAACCTGCGCTTGTGGAAAATAAAGAAAAAAACCGGAATAGCTAGTGCAGTGAGAACAGCCTTGGCCATATTTGTGCTGGCAAACAGCAACACCCTCGCAATATGCAGTGAGCCAGTCTTCACTAGGCATGTGAGGGGGGCTCTATTGGGATTTTGAATTAATGTGGGGAGGTACAGGGACCAGGAAAAGAGCCAGTGTGTGCACTTCAAAGGTTGAGCAGTCCATTCTACTTTCCTTTCTGATATCTTTGCTTAAAACTTCTTCCAGTACAGAAAGGGTTGAAGTATGATGTCACTGTGAGTGTGGCTACGAATAGCAGGCATAAGATCACTTAACATGGAGATATAGAGGAGAGCTATAAACACATCGATACAATTGTTTGGTTTAAAGAATGCAATTTTTTTACATTGATTGTACATAAAAGACAATACGACCAGTTGTTTTCATTGCAAATTAATGATCATTCTGGTGGAAATTCAGAGCGATTTAGACAATGTAGACCTTTTTTTTACATTGAGTAACATGGTCAGTTTGGCAAGCTTCAGGAAAGGTCATTTCAGGTTGAGTGTGTGCAGGCTATATAGCTCTATAACTTAAAACTGTATACCTTCTTCTGAACTAGACACAATTATGATGGCGCACTTTGAGGTTGGTGCCCATTCATCTGTATAAATTATACTTTTTTTTTTTTTTTCTTTTAGCTTCTGTCTAAGGGGACATTTGGGTATTTGCTGCCCATTATGTCCTTTGTTTTGGCCTGGCTGGAGACATGGTTCCTGGATTTCAAGGTTCTTACACAAGAGGCTGAGGAGGATAGATGTAAGTGCACATTAAGAAAGAGGAGACGAGAGGGTATGTTTGGGGTGGAAGTTGACAGCTTTAGTCTTTCCCAATATCCTGCAATCAATTAAATGCTAGAAGAGAACGCCATCAAGTGTGTACATTTACATGAATCTTTATATGATATGATAGTATAGCCCGACCTCTCAGAGACAAGTCGTCTGTGTGCTGTTTTTAAAAAAAAAAATTTAAAGATCATTTTTATTGATTTTAGTGGGGGGAGAAAAAAAACATGTTATAAAAACTTGTAAAAGAAACCCAAGTAAACAGCTAACAGTGTATGCCTCTTAGCAGTATTACAAGTGAAGAATACATAAAAGGATACCACAGTTTGTGTATTCTTTTAGAACATAATGGGGAAAAAACAAGAGGGGGTAAAGGAAGAAGGGGTTACAATATTAGCAACCCATTAATGTCAAAGAGGGATAGTGTGGGCAGAGTATAACCAGGGTCCCCATACACGGTCAAAGAACTGGGGTCTACCTCGCTTTTCATAGGTGATTTTATAGACTGAGAGGATGTCATCAACCAGCCTTTTCCATCCGTCAAAAGTAGGAGGTGAGGAGGATTTCCATGGAAGGATGCCTTTCTTAGCATAAAAGAAAAGAATCCTTAAAGGAGAACTATGAGGTGAGTGCTTTTCACTCACCTCATAGTTCTAGCCGACCTGCGACAATGAGATTGTCACAGGTCGGCTCAGTAGATCAGGAAGTGAGCGAACACATACCGGCGTTCGCTCACTTCTCGATCTTGTCACGGCTCTCTGCCGGGACGGGAGGGGCTGGATTCCCCCCGCTCCGATCCACCAGCGCTGACTGGGGGAACGGGAGGGGGCGGGTACAGCTGGCTCTAGATAGGCAGAGCCAGCTGTCACTCACGCAGCTGGGCGGATCTCGACATCGATGTCGGGATCCGCTGCGGCGTCTCAGTATACCGCGAGCTGTAGCTCGCGGTATACTGAGCTTAGGGTGACGGGAGGACGCTAGTTTGTGTCCTCCCGTTACCCTAAGGAGAACTATGGGGAAAAGCCCTGACCCCCATAGTTCTCCTTTTACCAGGCGTTTGTTATAGGAGGTTAAGGGTAGATCCTCCATCGGCCCAAGCAGAGACAGACAAACATTGGGAAAGGCCAAAGCAGATTCCTCAAAGGCAGTAATTTAAGACCAATAGGATTGTATCATTCCACAACTCCAGCACCAATGCAAAAATCAGCAGGTTCCATGCAGCCCTTGAAACACATGGAGGAGGGCAAAAAGCCCAGATGATGAAGGGCTACTGGAGTGTAGTACACCTGATAAAATTTTACAGGTTAAATTCTTCTATCCTGAGAGGAGATCGGAGAGGACATATATGTATCAAATTCTTGCCAGTCATCAGAGGTAATTTGGGGTATCAACAGTTGCCACTTATGAGTTGCCTTGCTAAAGCGGGAGGAGCTGGAATTACCCAGCTCAGCATAATAAGTAGACATCAGCTTGGCAGTGTTCTCCCTGCATAACAGCTTCTCCATAGAAGACACGGATAGTGTCACAGAGGTACCACCAAATTGAGCCCTCACAGCATGGTGGAGCTGAAAGTAGGCAAAAAATCTGGTAGGGGGGTAAACCAAGCATTGCCTGTAAAGCTGGGAATGTTAGTAGCTTCCCTTCCCGAAACAGATCTTGAATAGATTTAACACCTCGAGAGGACCAGAACCCAGCCGGAGGATTTACCCCATAAAGCTGGTCATACACCTTACAATTATCTGCAGATTTTCTGTGGTCAGATGGAAAAGGTGCAATAGATTCCTCCATCTACACTTAACTGTGTGGATGGACCAAGCCCCCGTAATCTTGCTGGTCTGCCCTGCTGGCTCTCAAAACACCTGAACAATGCCTGCATCCAATCAGATTGTTCAGGTATTTTGACAGCCAGTGGGCTGTGGGACGACTAGCAAGATACTGAAGCTTGGCCCAGCGGGAGATTCCTTCATCCATACAGCTTAGCATAGATGGAGGAATCTGTTGCACTTTTTCCATCTGACCATAGAAAATCTGCATATAATTGTAAGGCGTATGGCCAGCTTTGGGGGGCATTAGGGGACATGGACCAATTTTGGCAATGAACTCTAGGCACATAATGAAATGTACGGACAGTTGTCGAAATCATGGAACTTCCCGGGCGCCAACACCACTGACCATGATGCAGCATATTTTGGAGGGGTTCAAAAGAGGAAGCTATAGCGGCCTCTGTGGCCGTACATGCATTGCCAGGATTGGGAGTCAACCAGTCATGTACTAAGTTTCTAAGTATTGCAACTCCCTCCTCATTGGCCTTCCACTACACAGGCTATCCCCCCCTTCAGTCTATCATGAATGTAGCTGCTAGACTCATCCACCTAACCAACCGCTCAGTGTCTGCAACCCCCCTCTGCCAATCCCTGCACTGGCTTCCAATAGCCCAAAGCATAAAATTCAAAATATTAACAATCAGTTACAAAGCCATCCACAACTCTGCACCCGGCTTTATCTCAAACCTGGTCTCAAAGTATCACCCTAACCATCGGCTCCGCTCATCCCAAGACCTCCTGCTTTCCAGCTCCCTTGTCAACTCCTCCCATGCTCGCCTCCAGGACTTCTCTAGAGTCTCTCCCATGCTCTGGAATTCTTTACCCCAACCTGTCTGTCTGTCGCCCACCTTGACTGCCTTTAGGCGGTCCCTAAAGGCTCATCTCTTCAGGGAAGCCTGTCCCACCTCAACCTAACCACTGAACCGTCATGTTCTCAAACAATTCATCCCCACGCAGCTACCTCCTCATGTATCACTTCCCCCTCCCTTTTAGATTGTAAGCCCTCCTTACCATCTTGTCTTGAATTGTATTGTGATTGAAATGTCTGCCCTATATTGTAAAGCGCTGCGCAAACTGTTGGCGCAATATAAATCCTGTATAATAATAATAATAAGTAGTATAAGAAAAAATGGGGAAAGGCCAAACCAACGTTTGAGGAGGGGAGCTGCAAATCCATTCCATCCTGCTCGCGGTATACTGAGACGCCGCAGCTGAAGCGGATCCCGACAATTATGCCGGGATCCGCCCAGCTGCGTGACTGACAGCTGGCTCTGTCTATCTAGAGGCAGTGCCAGCTGTACCCACCCCTTCCCCTGTCCGTTCCGCCAGTCAGCGCTGGCGGGGAGGGGGCAATCCAGCCCCACCCCCCCACGGCAGAGAGCCGTGACAGGATCGAGAGGTGAGCGAACCTGGTATGTGTTTGCTCACCTCCCGATCTACTGAGCCGACCTGTGACAGTCTCATTGTCACAGGTCGGCTAGAACTATGAGGTGAGTGAAAAGCACTCACCTCATAGTTCTCCTTTGAACTTTGTGGTATCCGGTAAGAGTAATGCCAGATATATGGACACTGTTATCAGCACTGATCTTGGCCAGAGAATAGGATGGTCTTGTAGCCTGACATTTCTGGTTTTAGAGGGATAGAATAGAAGTAAATCAAAAATCAAGCTTCTGAGAGTTAAGGATATATTGTTATAACTTGGCGAATCAGATCATAAGAAACATTTGTGACTTGCTCTTGTTAAATCTTTATTTGTACCGACAGGGCATCTGGCTGCTCAGGCTGCTGCCCTTCGCCCTCCTCTACTTTACCCAGGGGCACCCTCTGATGGTCAGTTTTATTCCCCCCCAGAGTCCTTTGCAGGTGAGAGTACATTCTGTTTTTGTTTTTTTGTTTTTTAAGAAAACTAGCTGCATATTTCCTTCCATCTGCTATCTGGTGATAATTGAATCAGGAACACATTAGATCTGTCTCTTCCACCCCAGGGTCGGATGATGAATTTGATGATGATGAAGCCGTGGGGAGGAAGGCAATTACTGCCCAGGATCGAGAGTATGTAAGGAAGGGAAAGGAGGCCATGGAAATTGTAGAACAGATACTGGCTCAGGAAATCAACTGGAAACATGAAAAAAGCAATGTGAGTACTCTACTGCTGCCTTTCCTTATTTTCGTCAGGGTACCCGACCCTCTCTAACCTGTGTGTGGTCTTTTCTTCTACAAATATACTATGATTGATTCACAAAAATTAGAATAACAAAATTTGAGAGTTTTAGATATCAAAGTAATTTATTTTATACTTATTTAATCCTTATGGCAATACCACAACTTTTCCATCCGCATATGTTTGTTTGACTACCGTCCTATTATTTGAAAGGGTAAAGTATGTGTAAGATGAGCTTTACCTCTTGTTTGCACAGCTGTGTTCAGTGTGCTTGCAGTTAAAGCAAAACCATTTTCCCCTTTACACCCACAGCAGACTTGCATCCTCTTTTGTGGGTGTAGCTTACAGAAGTGTGTCATTCTTTAATAAATATATTTCTTTGTATTGCAGGAAGTTGGAGACGTTGTGTATACACTTGACATCCCATTTCATGGAAAGACATTTATCCTAAAGGTAAGAGAAGAAGATAACAGTATAAAACTGTAGTTGGTTTTCAAATGAGAACAATATTAGAGTGAGTTTCCAGTAAAAAGGGGAATCTAGGAGAGCCGCCAGCCCACCACAATGGGCCTTTGTACAAGCCCTTGAAAGAGATTTTGCCAACAGGTGGCTCAGCCTCCAACTAGCTAACTCAATAATCTAATGTAAAGTAAACCAGTAGAACTGAAAATAATCTTTTTTTTTTTTTTATTGGACATCAGTAGAAAGTAAAATTATGCTGTTATTGGGTATTGCACTTTGTATTTTAGCTTTGCTTAGTACAGTGCATTATTGGAAAAACTTACAAGTCCTGGTAAAATATAAAACTACTGGAGGCATGTTTAAAAGCGAACTATGGCCAAACCTTTTTTGGCCGTAGTTCTCTTTAGGGTCACAGGAGGACATTTACTACTGTCCTCCTGTGGCCCAAAACTCAGTATATAGCAAGCTATTGCCCGCTTTATGCTGACAGCTGAAAACCGTGCTACAGCCGGGAAAGATCTCGACAACATTTTTTTCAGTGAATCCCTTTCTGCTTGTTCACCAACATATACCTATACACATCCAGGTGTACAAGGTTTTGAAACATTTTAATATTTTTTCAATTCTTTCAGGCTTTTATGCAGTGTCCTGCAGAGGTTGTATACCAAGAAGTTATCTTACAACCTGAGAAGATGGTCTTGTGGAACAGAACTGTGGCTGTGTGTCAGGTTAGTGTGAATGAGTTAGAAGAAAAGGCTGTTGGCCAGGTAGTATCATTTGAGATAAGGTTCTGAAGTGACCTACTATTGAGACAGGTAAATTCAATCTTTTGTGTTTTTGTTTTAATGTTTACTATATCCAACCCTAAAATAAACATTTACGGTACTTAATTTCAGTGGTCATTAAATATTTTATATTTACCATGTAAAGCCAAAAGGTGGAGCTGTATGCAAGTTCTATGCTCTGCGAAGTTGCTTCCTTACTGCTACTGTTTAACAATAGACCTGAATGCCACAGAGGAAAAATACCTTCTTCCCTCTCTTCCAACAGAGACTGGAACATTCTTTATTAGTCAGATCTGCTAAGGGTCGTCAAGAAGCAAGTAGGGCTGAATTAACTAATCAAATGAATTGATAATAATTGATAATAAAAATTGTTGTCAACGATTCTCATTATCGATGAATTGATCTGCCCTAGATGTGACACGAGACTACCAATTAGGAAAGAGCTAGTGGCTGTGCCGACCGATCCATGCTGTAAATCTAGGTGGAGGGTGGTGCTGACCGTGGCAGTGGGTTGGGTTGAATTGTAGTGCAGAAGCAGGAAGATGGAAGTTGTACGGAGTTAGTTTGGCTTCCAGAGCTTCTTCAGGGTTTTATCTGTGCGATGGTTGAGAGTGGACATAGCCAGCATGGAGCAGCCCGTGCCGAAGAAGTGAGTGTCTCACCGAGGAGCTCTGTCCACTCCGTGCCCAGTGTGATCATATATTATGTGCTGACTACCTCCGAAGAGGGCACTGACATGTCATTGACTGTAACAGCACTGACACACTGACATCACACAAACTGCAACAGTATTGACATCTCACTCTGTACCAGCACTGACACACTGACATGTCTCACCCTGTACCAGCACTGATTTGTCGCACCCTGTACCAGCACTGACACACTGACTTGTCGCACCCTGTACCAGCACTGACACACTGACTTGTCGCACCCTGTACCAGCACTGACTTGTTGCACCCTGTACCAGCACTGACGCACTGACTTGTCGCACTCTGTACCAGCACTGACAATTGTTGACACCGCAGTGATCTGTACTGTTAGGACAGACAGTGCTCAGATCTAGTTTACAACTGATCATGAAATCTGCCATCACAGTACTCTCAGGGTTAATTCAAGTTAACCTAACTACCCACAGACCCCTCCTTAACATTACTTGGGGGAATGGGTAAGATTTTTAAGCAAGTAAAAAGAACTTAAAAATGTAACCAGCAGTTTTAAATATGTTTTAAGCTATGCAGCGTGAATGGAAAAATGTAGCCAGTATAAAGTAGATGTTATCCCAGTTGACTACAAATATGGAAATACACTTGAAGTATAGTTGCCCATCTTGTGCTATTTCCCGTGAAGGTCTCAGAGTTGCTCTATATCCCAGTAGTGCTGCTTGATTACATTCTGATCCATGCTTGTCATCTATTTCTCAGGTCCTCCAGCGTGTAGATGATAACACACTTATATCATATGATGTAGCAGCAGGAGCAGCAGGTGGGGTGGTGTCACCTAGGTTAGTACCTTGCCTTTTGGATGCTTTTTCTTCATATAAACAATAGCTAGCCAACTTTTACTAATGATCATTTCTTATACCAGGGATTTTGTGAATATACGCCGTATTGAGAGAAGAAAAGATCGGTACTTATCGGCAGGCATTGGAGGAACTCATCCTTCCAGACCTCAACTTACAAAATATGTCAGGTAAGATGCTCGTTTGTGAATCTAATGCAAATATGTCAAACACAAGGCCTGCGGGCTGAATCTGGCCTGCAAGCCCATTTTATGTGGCCTGTGCACCTCTCCTGCAACTTTAAAATTTTAAACCGAACATGGCGCTGCAAACAGGCACCAGGCATTACAGAGAGGCTGCCGAGGTCCCCAGCAAGGTCCCGGGAACCTTCCTGTAAATCAAAGCGCCGATTTACCGCGCCGGCAATTTATCTCCTCCTTCCTGTGGATCCATGCCGCTCCCACCTTCCGAGACCCCTAGTGAGACCGCACAGCCTACCTGAGAATCTGCACAGCCCACCTGAGAATCCGCAAAGACCACTATATACCCCAACATAGCCTACCTGTGAAACCACACAGACCACCATATACCCCGCATAGGCCACCTGAGGATCCGCACAGCCAGCCATAGACACCACATAGCCTACCTGAGAATCCACACAGCCCACCATAGAACCTGCACAGCAATCCGAGAATCCACACAGCCCACCATAGAACCTTCACAGCCAGCTGATAGTCTGCACTATTACACTAATTGCCCTTATTTTTCCTTAGACTTTTACTTTCAGAGCTAGTTATTACTAAAATCAGTAATAGGCAATTCACAGAAGGCTATCACTGTATAGGGGGTTTAAAAGTTATAAGCTCCCTTTATGATTAGCAATACAGTGAAGTAAAAAAATGAATACAAAATTGTCTGTCCACACACACATAAAAATGTGTACCTAAGACACACACATTTAGGTAAACATCAGTTGGTGAGACATCATTCAGGTACCCATTCAGGTACCCAACACAACAGGAAGCCATTGAGGAAACTGACGGAAAGAGAGAAAGAGAAACAAACTAAGAGGGAATAAGCTAGAAAAGGAAATGAAGCAGGTAGGGAGAGAGGGGTTCCCCTACATTAAGGAACAAATCCCAAACCTAATCTGACGCCCAAGAGAGGTATGACTGAAGATGGATTGAACCAGACAGGTCTATCCAGGTGCCCCCATGTAGTGAAAGTGTCATATTTTTTTTTTGCTGAAAATATTGGTTTGATAAACAGTTGATGAAATATTGTGAAACCCAACAGTTTGCAACTACCATATTCATAGTGTACAGATTTTCTGCTTTCAGAGTATATATTGTGTTGTGGTTATAAGTATTCTTCCAATGGGCATTTTAGCATTTGTGTTTATAAATGCAAAAATGTTTTTTTTTAATTTTGGTCTGACAATGAAAAGGTTAATGTATAATGATTTATCTGTTCAGGGGAGAGAATGGACCAGGCGGCTTTGTTGTTCTAAAGAGCTCCAGGAACCCATCCGTCTGCACTTTTATCTGGATCCTCAACACTGATTTGAAGGTGAGTTTATAGGAAAACACAGATTAATTGTTTCTTGGCTGTGACATGCTGATTGTGCAATTTTAATTTAGAATTGCAGACATTTTACTGTTATTTATAAAGTCTTTTGAACTATTTTCCTGAATTACTGTAGAGGCGGAAGAAATGTGCATAGATCAAGAACAGTTGACTTTTTAGCGTAGTCCCTACTGGCTACCCTGTGCATGACTAAGGGGTCTATTCACTAAGCTGCCAAGGGCAGCTGAGTGAACAACCGACCCCAAGTAAAGTGAGCCGAACACTGTTCGGCTACTCACTTCAGGCTGGTACGGCTGATTCTGCCATACATCGGCTTGCTTCGAGTCGGCCGAACAACAATAGTTTCCTATTGTCCGGCGGCTCTGCTGCCGTCAAAAAAAACAACTCTCTAGGGCGCTCTGGGAGCCTCCCGCTCCCGGCCGCCCAGGAGAGAAACACTGCTGTGTCGTTTGATAGACTGCAGTAGATGAGAATTGCCAAAAATGTATCATTACAAACATAATTTGCTGTTTTAAAAAACCTGGCATTGACAAAGAAGCCTGTCCTGAGAGAAATATGTTGACTCTATTTTCAAGGACCACATGGACAAGAGGTTAGAAGCACTCTTTAAAGCTTTATATTTGCCCTTGCAAGCCAAGCTATGGATGCTTATTTGTACATCCCCATTTTTCCTGCTCACCACTGCTATCTGAGTTTTGCTGTGGACATGCAACACTACCAATTTGTTGTTCTTCCATTCAGCCTTGTCCATTGCACCTTGGATCTTCACCAAGGTGCTGGCGCCTGTTTTGTCTTCTCAAAAGAGCAGTCAGTGTGAGCCGTACAATACAACAGTCATCAAATGATACTGAACCTGCAGAGCTTTAGATTGGGCCTGTATCTCCAGATGTCGATGCTGGAACTCTGTCATCACTTGGATCTTGGTCATGGCCTTGTCCAGGGTCCTCTTTCCCCCTAGAAAAGTTTAAATCTCTCTGCTCCTATGCTCGGTCGTTGCAGTCCAGAAGTCGCCAACCATTACATTTTGCATGAGGGTTCTGGGCTTAATGGTTGTCGCCTTCACAGCAGTCCCATATGTTCCATTTTACTCCAGGCTGTTACAGCTCAATGTACTGGCTGCATTGGACAAACAGGCTCAATCTCTGGATCTCCCCATTTGCCTGTCCAGCAAGACAAGGCTTTCCCTGGTGTGGTGGATCTCGGCACTGCAGTCCACAAAATCCTTCATTCCGATGGTCTGGAAAGTGCTCACAATGGATGCCAGCCGGTGTAGCTGGGGATCAGTTCTGGAAAACCTCTTGGTTCAAGGGACCTAGTCATTGGAGGAATCTTGTCTCCTGATCAACCTCCTGGAAATTAGGGCTATTTGGTTGTCCTTTTGAGCACTGGACTCCTCAGAATTCAGTCAGACAACACCATGGCTGTGGCTTACATAAGCACTAAAAAGCGCCAAATCCCAGCCCTGTCTGCTGTACACATTCCAGGTGTGTACAATTGTCAGGCAGACTTTGTCTATCAGTGTCTGGACTCTGGAGAATAGTCCCATTACCACAGGTGTTTCAAGACCTTTTTTGCAAGTGGAGGGGGTGGTGGCAGACATGGACCTCCTGACATAAAGGTTAAACAACAAGCAGGGCTAGTTTGTCACCAGGACCAGAGGTCCCCCGCCTTTGCAGTGGATGCCTTGGTGACTCGTGGGATCCGTTCAGCTTGATTAACGTCTTCCCTCCTATGTAACTTTTGGCTCACCTCCTTCACAGGATCGAAACACAGGGCATTCCTGGAATTCTCATTGCTTCCAACCAGCCCAGGAGTCCTTGGTACAAGGAATTATTCAAACTTCTGGCAGACTCTCTGTGGGCACTTCCGGATCCTGCAAGACCTCCTGTCCCAAGGACTGGTATTCCACCCTGCTTCTCGGTCACTGGCTTTAACGGCTTGACTGTTAAAGCCCAGGTTCTGCAGGACAGAGGCCTTTCACACAGTGTCATCCCTACTTTAGGAAATAGACTTCCTGCAAGGTACATCTTTGCTTGGTGCGAAGCACCTTCCATGGAAATACTCTGTGGGGCGCATCTTATATTTGTCCTGCAGGGTGGACTGGAGCAACGTTTAGCCTAACTCTACTCACAAAGTTGCCTTTTTTTTTTTAACATCCATTCTGCCGGGCCTGTTTCTGAGATGGCGGCCTTGACATGTAAAGAGCCCTTGTCAACCACAGGAATAATTATAATGTTATAATAATATCATTATATTATAATATAATATGATCAATATTTTTGAGACCTAAGGCCTACTTTTATCGTAATGTGGTCTCTGCCTTCCACCTTAACCAGTGCAGTATGTTGCCATCCTCATGTCCTACACCTAAACATCCTAAAGAGGTTTCTCTGCACTGTTTGGACATGGTTCAGGCTGTATGAGTTTTCCTCTCTGCTACAACTTCCATCTTCGTGTCTGACTTGATGGGGAAGCTGACTTTATATTTGGTGGATTAGTCAAACTATCATTCAGGCTTATGAAGTAGTCAAGGCTTACTCTACTGGAAGCATTAGTCAATCCTGGGCCTTTCAGCATCGGGATTCAGTATCCCAAAAACCTGTGTACAGAATACCAGATTGCAACCTTGCCATCTGGGAAATGGTAGCCTGATGTCAAAGCCCAAGAAGCATTCACAGATCTAGTAGAGTGCACTTAGACAGGAAAGCATTGAACCCCAACTTTTGGACTAGACGTTTAGAAGGTGGTCTATATGAGCTACCTAGAGATGGAATGTGAAGCTGGTGCATCCTTGCAGGGACCATCCGGGATTGCAAAAAGGGAATCTGTCTTTTTGGAAAAATAAGGCAGTGGCTGAGGGATGGCCATTAAACTGCTCGAACCACATGAAGACAATGGAGGGAGATTTCCATTCTATGAACTGCAGCCTGGTTGAGGTGAAAAGCAAAAATTACCTTATTCAAAAAGTTGTCTGCATCTGGAATGTAAACCAGGCTAGAATGTGAATTTCTGTTGGTCCCTCAGGCAGCTTTAGAGCTGAAGGCAGTGCCCAGGTTCTCTTGTTCATGTTGGTGCCTGTTAGCATTTCTTTGCTGCTTCCCAACCCTCAGTTGGACTGCTTTTGAATGTCCCAAAGGTAGAAGACTTCCAGTGCCCTCAATGGACAAGATACAAAAAAGGATTTTTGTACTTGCCATCAAATCCTTTTCTTGGAGTGCATTAGGGACACAGGTCCCACCTGTTTATTTTATCATACTTTAGGTACTGCTTGCCACAAAACTGAGGCAGGTTTGCCAGTATCCAATCCTCCTGTAGGAGGTAGTATAACCAAAGGTGAGAGATTTCATGTGTCCTCAATGGACTCCAAGACAATATCACCAAAACAAAGCCTTATTTGTCTCCTAAATACACTATACACTGAGTGGCCAGATTATTATGACCACCCCATCAGTACTTCGTTGGGCCGCCTCGTGACTCCACGAGATGTTGAAAGGTGATGTGAGGAATCTGACACTGCACTATTGCCTTTCTGTTGTCTTGTACCAGTCTTGCCACTCTCCGTTCTGCCCTAACATTGACTAGTCGCTGACGGCCACAATTCGCACCTTCAGACCCAGATTTTCGGCTGACAGTCCAGTCTTTAAACACTTTAACAACAGCTGCTCTTGAACATTTAATTAATTCTGCTGTTTTGCTGATACTCGCTCCATGGCTCCAAGCGCCAACAATCATCCCACGTTCAAAGGCTGTTAAATCGCGTTGTTTACCCATATCTTCAGAAAAAAATCACTTCTACTGTCGTGGTAAACAACCTGCTCCCCTATTTATAATGGTCTGGCCCTCTAGCAACTTCAGCGTGAAATTATAGCTAATTTGCCTACAAACGTCAGAATAATCTGGCCACTCATTGTAGCTATCTGTTATCTCAAGTAATAACAAATGTATTACTGCATAAATGGGCCCCTAGCAAAAATTTTAAAAGGTCTCCGGTCCATAAGGGGTATACAGATGTGAAAGCTGAAATGGTTTAATGACATGCATCTGAGATAGATTACCCCAGACTAGTTTTAAAATGGCTTATAAGACCAGTGACTGACTAGTGTGAAGGACGTTATTAAAGCGCACTTAAACCCAAGAACAAACATTTAATATATTGCGGCTTACCAGTCCTTAGATGTGATGGTTGCATTACCTTTCTTTTTTCTCACGTGGTGATCCTATGAGTAACACGTGTCCTGTTCGAGGTTGACAATGTACACTCGTCATACTGTATCTAAGAATGAGCAGTGTTTATCGCCTTAGGCTAGGACTGCAGAAACGCTTCCCTCCCTCTTCGTCTCAATAGCATGGGGGTGCTCTATAGTAGGGATGCGCTGATACCGAGTACCGGTGTCGTGTGCCCAGATTATCAGGAAGTTGGGCGGCGGATCATCAACCTGCCCTTGAAGCTGGTGTTCTAGCAAAAGAAAGCTAGCTGTACATACCGAGGCTTCCTGACCAATCAGGAGCCTTGGTGGCGGGTCATGAGGTGCCGGGTGGCGTGTCATGATCTGCCTCCCGACCTCCTGATTTGCTAGGAAGCCGGCATCACTTGTTGCTAGGTAGCCTGGCTTCCTGACCAATCAGGAAGCCTCGACGCGAGTCATGACGTGCCTCTCGGCTTCCTGATTGGTTAGGAAGCCAGTCTGCTTACCAACAAGTGCAGCTGGCTTCCTAGTCCATCAGGAGGCGGGTCATAACCCAGCGCCCTGCTTCTTGATTGAAAAGGAAGCCTGCTCCATGCTCCCTCTGCACTTGCGGTCGGAGGGAGATCTTCAGTAGATCGGCAATCTGTGCCCACGTGGCAATTGTATCAAAAAAAGCGCTAATCCCCACACAGTCACGGAATCGCACTGCAGTGCCATTCTTTTTTAATGGCACCCCAATCACAAGCGGATTGCGTGGTTTCCTGCCACGATTCCGCCCGTGCAATCACACATGATCGTGGCTGAAAAAAAGTGTTCAAAAAAAAAGGTACACGTACCTTTTTTCAGCAATTGCAGCACGGATATAAACGCACGCTCCCGGGACACGCATCCTGGGATCGCCGAGTTGTGGCTTCACTCAAGGCCTGTGTCTAAGAAAGAAACCACTGGATCAGCATGAAAGCCAGTCGCTCGCTCACTTCTCGATCTATCCCTGCAGAGAGCCGTGACTGTCACTCATGGCTCCCTGCAGGGATTCCCCCAGTCCGATCCTCCAGCGCTATATTGAAGTCATGTTTTACCCAATTTCTCCAGTCCTGCCTACTCACAGATCTCCCGTGCAGCCCCTATATTGGTACTTCTGGTTGTGGGACAAGTATGCACGTTTCTCTTGCTCCAGAGCACTGGTGTGTGTGTGTTACCCCTAAGTTAGGTGCTGCCTGAAGGATCCTGAGGAACCTAAAAAAACAAAGCTAGAATGCTAAGCAGAGTGATGTGGAATCTTCTGTAGTTTACGCTCTCTCAAATTCAGATCCTCAGTGCATAAGTACTAGTGAGCAATAATTATTGATTTGCATAGGCAAAAGCATCGTTATCTATAGTAATCCATATCTGTTCAATGCATGTAATCATTTATTTGTGAACTTCCTTCATTCAGTTGATCGGCATTTAATTATGTTTTCTTTTTTTTCATGCAGGGTCGGCTACCTCGCTACCTCATTAACCAGAGCCTGGCTGCTACCATGTTTGAGTTCTGCAGCTATTTGCGCAAGAGAGTCAGTGAAGTTTACAGCGGCCAGTTATAAGATCTCTTCCAGAAAGAATGAATTTGCGCTGCCTCCCATCTGCACTGACGGCAGCTGCTATTTGCACGTTAATCCTCTGTTCTAATTAAAAGGATGAAGGACCGTCCCGTCCAGCATACTTACTGTCCCCAATGTCTTCTGAAATCTTGTGCTTGCCTTTCCAGTGCATGTCACCACTAGAAGAGACTTTGGTTTCTAATGTCCAGTAAGGCATCTCTGGGGAATTTTTGATGTACCATACTGAATTGGTGAAATCGGGTGATGTGTTGATGGTTGGCGCACCCCTTCCTGCAATGTTGGTCACTGCATTGTTGTAGAAGACCTCATAGGTTGGTGAAAGATTGTCTGTCTGAGCCACTTATCAAATAGAATTTTGTGTTTCTTTTTAACTGACTGACAGGGCTTCCTCCATGTTTGGGGATGATGGTTACCCCATGCTGGGCATGGAGAGTTTAACTCTTAAAATACTTTTTAATGGTTTGCAGAGGTCCAGTTTACAAGTGGCTAAGCTCCCAATACATTTCTAACCTTTTTTCTGGCTGTAATGTTTGAGTAAGTGGACAGCTTAGACAAGTAACTCGAGTGGATGCACT